TCGACTTGAGACCAACTCGAGTTGCAACCAGAGTCACGGAACGGATTAAGTTCGTAACTAGAGGTACCACTGTACTTTAATGTTATATGGAAACACCATCCCACTGCATTTCTTCACCATGTGAGGGGCACTTAGTCCACCTACACATTTCTCATTTTAGGATTAAGACTGTGTGTCATGCAAAAGCAACAAGGCACCTAGGGAAATTAGTCTTGACTTTCCTAAAGTATAAAGACCATAGAATATTAAAAAGGGGAAAAAAGATTAAAAAATGACTAATGAAAGGAATACTTTCTAAAGACACCTGCCAAATGACATGCCATAAGCAGCTCACATCTCACCAGAATACTTTTTTTAACCATGCTATTAGACTTCAGAATCTTCTGGAGAATGGGGCCATGATGGTTATTGACTATGTGGGCCTATTTGCCAACTATGGATGTGTCAAATTCCATGTATGGAAAGAGTATATTTAAGAACTGGCTGGTGGTATTTTTCTAATAAATGAGGCAGGGATCCACTTTCTTGCTGATAGAAAAATTCTTGGTAATTTCTCGACAAATCACATTTGGAGTACTCTTCACATAATACATTTTATAATGTTAAATATTAAATAACCTAACTGTTGAAAGCCTGGGGATTGCAGCAGGAAGTAAATCTAATAGATAAAAGTAAGAGCCAGAGGGTAATGGCCTATTCTGAAAGATCAATTGAAAACTTAAAGAAGCAGGTGTTTATTCATCATCCGTTCCTATAAACCCTTAATAAAGGCAGGAAACACCCCACCTTGCATTGGGCCCATGACAAGAATTACTAGATACATGGAATGAACAAGCTAGAACAGGACTCACTGATACTGAAGAGGTGAACTGATAAAACTAACAAATTACTGTTATACAATGGCAGATCAAACATATATCTACCTTTTTTGTTAGTCCACATCCCATTATTAAATATTCACACATTTGAAGCATTTCTTAGTCATGAATTTGACTGCAGTCTTCAAGATGGCAGTCAAAGCAGCACATAGTACAAAATATACAATTCAGTATGAGTTCATAAAATCATAACATATTTAGATTTTTAAAAGCAGCTAACAAACTAAACCCATACCTAATAAAACATAACATAAAAAGCCACCTGTATGAATGTTTTTAAATATCATTTAAATACAGCAGGAGGAACTACCCATCTCTTCTTGAAAGGAAATTCAATAGAATGGGGTACTAGTAAGAACTGGTCTTTTACAACCTTTTAAAAACTGAGCTGTTTAGGAGGGCCTATGTAGGATGAAGTGTTGCCATCTGTTACTAGTGTTTTTGTTGCTTTTTAAAATTATTCTGTGATTGCAACAGGTCTCTTCAGCTGCATTCAGTTCTCCATCCCTGCTATAATTTACTAAAAATGTGTTCAGTGTACATTTATTGTTTGAACAAAAGTGCACTTACATGTATGTAAATTTTGCTTATCTTTAAAGGGCATATTTACAGTGAAATACTGTCATTCAGCCCAATTGCTCGGAAAGATTCCAAGAGGAGAAGTGGAATGACATTATAGACTCTTGTATGTCTACTGCTGGTCTACCTTTCCAATGATACACAATCATCGGTGTTTTGATCCTAAAGATGAGTAAATATAAATCAGCATGAAAAAGGCTATATGCATATAGCACAATAATAGTGAATCAGTAGAGGCCAACTTTGCTTTGAACATCACAGTGATACAAACAACCTCCAGTGCCACAAATCAATATGATTCTCATTAAATCTCTTTGTGATAAATTGTGATGGCTCTATTTTACCTTTTCTTGGGCTTTTTGTAACTGGTTCCATAGACTTGGTTTAAAAAGCTACAATGTTTCTACAAGTCTATAAAATTTTCTTTTTTCCTAATATCTCCAAATGAATACTGTAAAAAACACGTTTCAAAAAATAAAAGTATTTATGTAATAAAGGAACAGTTTCAAAGAACAGTTACATTATGTTCCTTGTGGTTCATTCTAAGCATTTTACATTTAAAACAGATTTCTCACTTCTTATTGGCCTTACATTAGCCATATTGTAAATGGGAAGTATCTACATCTTTAAGCACTGATAATTCCCATCTGGCATGATTTTCACAAATATCCCAGTATTTTTCGTTGCAAATGTTAACTATATTATGGTTATTTTAATCTGTGATGTATATATACATATTCTCAGAGGCAGTGATTTATAATTCAAGATAAAAACATGAAGAGCTAATAAAACAATTGTCCTGTTGGATTACAGACTAGACTCATTTGGCAATATTTAGTACTTTAAAATTATGGAAATGTAGAATGCGAGGAAGTGAAGGGTACTTCCATATTACTGTAATTTTCAGAAGCACTTTAAAGATAATTCATGTTTATCTTCACTTCTGCCAATTTGAAATGCTAACAAAAAAAGTGAAAATCAAACTGCAGAATGTTCTGCAATCAAAAAATCCCCCCACCCATATCTTTATGTGGAAATGCAGAAGGTTCCATTAAAAAAATGTCACCCAATCATAAAACATTTTATGATTCTTTGTTAACACTTTGCTCTATTATCATTAGTACACAATCATTCCAATGTCAAAATCTTCCAGTTTTTCTCTTAACTTCTCCTTCCAGTGTCTATTTTATCAATGGATTGTAAAAAAAAAAAAAAATTAAAAAGCATTTTGATACTTTTAGAAATTAAAAAAAAGATTCTGCATTGAGATGTTCCAATAATTGCAAATAGTTCCAATGTATAAATGGGGCTGCCTTGGAAATTTTTTACCCTGGGAACAGCTCCTGGAAACAAGCACTGAAATTCATTTCTGCATTTGTCAAGTTTTCTGTACTGATACAGAAAACCAACAAAACTTTAGGAACATTCATCTTGTGCTGCTGCAAAGACATGATTCCCAAATACATTCAGACATCAGACTACCAAATATTCAAATTGAGCAGCTAACATATTAATTTTGATTATCTTTCTTATGTGCCATTAAGTCAGTGTTGACTCTTAGCAACTACATATGTAGAACTTCTCCAAGATGATCTATTTCCCATTTTGCCCTTCAGATCTTCCAGAACTGCACCCATTGCCACCCTAATTGAATCCACCCACTTTGCTGATGGTTGTCCCCTTCCTTTTCCTTCCACCTTTCCCAACATTATAGACTTCTCTAAGGTCTTACTATCTGTCCAGAGGTGGCCTTTAACATACCAATTCAAGGTTGGAATCTCCTTTTGAGTTCAGAGTTCTTTTGGAAGACTTGTTTTTCCATTCCTGATACCATCTTCAATGTTTTTACACCTCCTTGTAGAGGTCAATTTGATTTCTGTATACTCCGTCTGGTAAAACATGCATGTATATAGGTATTATCTTGAGTGTTTGAAGACTGCATTAATGAAATCACTGGATTGGCAGAAACTGGTAAGTTTTTCTCCTGCTCCATTTGTGTTGCTTAGGTCAATAATACTTTCAACTGTTTTCCTCCTTACTATGGAGGAACTTTGGCAGTCCAATCCCCAGCACCAGCAGCACATCTTCCTTGCATGTTCTGTTGATGTCCGATTGAACTTGACCATAAAATATAAAACACATCAACATCCTCTTCTTATACATTGGTGGTTGGAACATAAACTAAGATAACCATCATGTTAAAAGGTTGTTTGTGAAGTCTAATATTATTCAGCTGATTGCATTGTACCCAAATACCGTTTTTACTATATCCTTCATATTAAAGCACTGTTTCTTGGTTTTTGTGTCCTGAATAGTAAACTGGAATGTCCAATTCCAGTCTATTTTCTGATGTCTAAGATGTCAGTATGTAGTCAATTCACTTCATCTTTCCCATGTTTATGCTTCTTACATTCCACTGTAATTCTGTCTCTGCAGCTTTGCATTTTCTTTTCCTGCATGACAAGCCAATATCAGCAACTAGATGTTCCAAAGGCTTTCAACTAGCCACATCAAACACTATTAGTACAGGTAGTCCCCAGTTTAAGAATGAGTTCCATTCCCAAGGTCTGTCAAGTCAAATTTGTATGTAAGCCAGAACAGTATTATTATATAATACTGTGTAAGTAGTATTGTGTAATTAACTCAAACCATTGTGCACTTAACTCAAATAATTGTGTCTTTAATTTGTATTTTGCTACAATAGGCTCCGTTCTTAACTATGGGTTGTCCTCAAACCAGGCATTCTTAACCTGGGGACCACTGAAAGAGTCTCAGCTCTTCCTCAGTAGCATGTTGAGTGCCATCTGGCCAAAAAGCTCAACATCCAGCATGGAATTATCAATCACTTTACACTGTTTATCTCTGTGGGTTTCTTGGTTAAATACAGTAGCAATTTACCATTACTTTCTTCCATGCAGTATGAAATGATGCCTTTGCCTTTGCCATTGTCATTGTCATTAAAATTATCATTCACCTCAATCATCTTTTTATATCACTGCTGCCTGATACAGCTGCCTGTTTGCTTTAGTGGGTAAGCTGGGATGACCTTCACATTTTTGATGATCTTGCTAGGAATCTATATTCATGTTGTACACACCTGGTGTTCTTTGCTCATCTCTCTCAAGGACATTCACCACTACCACAATGAGGCACCAAGACATAAGAGGGATGTGTCAATTCTACTCTTCACAAAACAACAGTTTGTCATCTTGGCAGTAAAAATGTCTCAGCTGCAAACCAATCCTTGTTTTGGAAATGACACTTTTCTCTCCAGAATTTGGAAATATTTCCCTGAACTGTTTCTTCTACTTCACTTCTTACATAGAAGGAGAGAGCACTATATATACTGCCTTGTTCTTGTACAAAAGATGGGATATCATTTTAGCAAATAAATACATATGGGAGGGTGAGAGGAATATACCAATGATGTGAAAGTTGTTTTTTAGTTTTAAAAATAATTTTTATCAAACTGTATGTACTTCAGAAAAAATACAGAGGTCATAAGAAGTAGAACATTTTAAACAAATTAGAGGTTAAGATAGAGCAAATTTAATCAGAATATAAATGCATATATTCAAATACTAGAGAAAATTTAAAATATTTACGAGTTACTAAATTGCCACAGTGCAATTCCTGGATAGTTGGGTATCCACATCTATTTTACTGAGACCTGACTGAGAATACTTGCAAGCCTATAACAGCAACTGGCTTTTAAGGCAGTGCATTCTTATTTTGAATCTGCATTCAGTAATAGCATGAGTAGCTTCATGTGACTGATTATAGCCATGCCTATAATAAAGGTATAAGGATGTTAGTGAGCAAACCATATAATAACTTCAATTTGCCTTTTTTCTTATGCAGTAGCTTGCTAATAAGAGCATAAGAATGAGCATCCAGAGTTTTTCTTCTCCCTCCCACTTAGCATTCATGAATTTGGTTCCACTTGCATTATTTTGCTTTTTTTGTGTGTAATAGGTTGTTGGAACCTACAAATATCTGTATAATTCAACAACCTATTTTATTGTAACTGTGGCTCACACCCCCACTTTGTATTTATGACCTTAAAATTACTTGCTTCCTGCATTTACTCTGGTTGTTGTGATACTGTACTCAATTATCTTTGGCTTTTTTCTACCTAGTTAAGTGCCCCCCCCTTCACTAGCCATGGCTGGTATCGTCTATCAGATTAGTCTACTTTATATACAAAGAAAATGCTACAACCTTTTAATATGCTTCTCATGTAGTAAACAAACTTGGGTCTTTTCCTGTCTCTTTTGAAATAATAAAATGCAACATCTCATTAAATTTATATTAGCAAGTGCTTTATTAAGAATGCACTATCATCTCTTGGAGTTTAGGTATACAAAGATTTTGGTTAAGAGTATACTCTGCTGGGTTCACTATGTTATATGGGACAGGCTTCAAGTGTGCCAAAACCCACCAATTTTTGTTCTAAACACAGTAGTTTAGCCCTCAATTTGAATATTAAGATGCAACGTAGCATGACCTTTTTCATATGAATCATACAGCTTACACTGTCTGACTTCTTTTATGTCACCAGCTAACTCAAAACAGTATTTGGAATATCTGTAGCAGCATATGGCTGCAATTTATTTATTGCAGTTATAATAGAATCAGCAATGGGAAAAAAGTTCTGTACAACATATGTGACATAAAGCCAAAATCCTGTCTTTTCACAAATCAAATGAAAAAAGTTTAATCTAAACAGCATTGCAATACACTTCTTTCCTATTTACCTTTACCTGAACAGGACAATCCAGGACAGCCACCTACAATCTGGTTCTTTCCAACATATATTAGATTACAATCCCAGTGACTGTATCTGGAGATCAGAGGGAACACCTTTAGAGAACAGCAGGTTGAGAGGCTGGCTTAAATACAGGTTCTTCAAATTTATGAGAAACAGGCTCACTTTATTACTGCATGGCGCACATTGAAATCACGTGTAGTTCACCAGACCATATTCAGACACTTATCATTTTGCTGGGCAGGGCCTCCCAAAGCATGAGCGTGCAGGAAACTGCACACATGCTCCAATCTACATAGGGGATTCACACATTCTTACACGGAAGTGACTCTCCCTGTAGGAATTGGATCAGGTATGAACAAGCCCTTCAGTCGCTGCCTCAGAATGGTTCCCAGCACTTTTCCCCGCATGTCGCCAAAATTCAACTTTGTCCCCACACCGGCCTCCAAGGCAGCCAGTTTCAAAGCTCCCCCCTCTCCTAAGGCCAGAGCGCGTCCGAAAGCACCAGCCCTGAAGGTCTACCCGCCACCACGCAGGACTCATTAGCCTATCTCGGTCACCCCCCCCCCCACTCCCCGCACACCGCTGCCCCCAGGCCTTCAAGATTTGTGTCCAGGGAGGAAAAGCGGGGGGGCGGTCCTTGTCGGGGGGGCGAGAAAGAGAGCCGAGCGCGGCT